ACTTGTTTATCACTGTTCTTTCGAACTGATAATTTTCTATTAGGTTAGATGTGTATAATTTGTATCTTGAAAGCAGATTTTATTTTATGTGACGAGAAAGAAGTAGGTAGCTATCATTCTCATAATTTATCTGAAAACCAGCCAGTTAAATAATATTTCATCAAAGAGTTTCACTGGAAATTTTTCTAGATAGGAAAATAATTCCTATATAATTAGGTAAAAAAATAAGAAAATTTGAAATGAGTTTTGTGAGAGAAAGCTTTAATAACGGTGTATCTATTGATAAACCGATTGAAAAATTCTCATCTAACATGCTATATAATTACATTTATTTGAAATCATATTGCCAATATAGTAGCAAATAGCATTCAACAAATTCCATGCAGTTGTGTGTCTGTCATATTTGGCAACTGATGCCTGTGATTCTTCCAAAGGTAAAACTACATAAGAAGCATACATGGAATGTGAGATCCAAGTACAAAGTAGAAGCTATCCATTGAAGAGTAGATGGTTACATTTGAGTTGATTCTGAAATATATTGGCTTCATGGCACTGTCTTTAAAGGTAATTTTAAAAGTGCTAAGATATGAACATGAGGCTTTTTAGAAAATTGTGATGAATATGCCAACTTCAAAATTAGAGATAATGACAGGAACAGGAGCAATATTTCATGAAATGGGGACCCCTGATCATTCATAGCAGACATAGCATGCTATGGTGGGACCTCTGAGGACCCAAGTATCAGCAGATACATGAGTTCCTAACAACTGACACGTCAGCATCTGATTGGAGAAGCAGGAGCAACCTGATGGACCAAGAGGCCTAGTCTTGCAAATTCAGCTATTTTTCAGTTCCATTAGTCAAATGAATTGAGATCAATCTGGAATACATCTGAGCTAATTATAGGCTGGGGATGGATGATTCTGACACACCTGGTCACTGTTTTTCTCAACTTGTTTTCTTAAAAGGCTTAAAAATACTTTACCGCAAACCACTCGCGCGCTCTAGAGCGTGTCTGCAAGGCTTCCAAAAAACAGTGGTGGAGCCAATAGAAATGTATGAAATAGTTTCCAATCATTAAATATGGGGCTAGGTCTCCACCCAGAGAGACCACGGCCCTGTGACTCTGGACAGATAGAAACTATAGCACACATACTCTGTGTTACAGAGACATTTGTACTCGCCTCATCTCACCATTATTATATAAAATACGCAGGATGCATGGCACCATTCTATACATGTGTAATAGTGCTACAATATATAATGTTGCTAGGTTCTGCACAACAGCACTTAAAATCCATCAGATAATGGATGACCTGTGCCTCAAGTAGCTAAGAAGGCCTTACATTGTGATAGACTTAGTTAGTCATGCACTAACTTTTCCCCTGCAGCCATTTAATGTTTTACCCCCTCCCTTTAGATTCTTTTAGATTCCTTCCTTCCTTCCTTCCTTCCTTACATACATACATACATACATACATACATACATACATACGTACATATATATTTAAAATAAATTATAAATGTATGTTAATATATTTAAAATGTATTTTTGGGCTTTCTGACCCTGTGTAACTTTTGTTTTTCTATTTTTTAGCTCTTTAAAATTATTGTTTGTAACCCAGCCTCCTTATTCTCATCTCTGACCCTAATAAAGATTTGTGTGTTTCTTTGGCTAAGTGTCCAGCTGTTCTAGTATTTATTTCATTGGAGTATATGGTTGGATTCTTAGCTAGGATTTCAGGTCAAATATCCCCAAAACCTCTTGATATCTTGAAATCTTCCTCTGACCTGACAGATAGGCCTCGGTAATCTGATTACATCCACACTTCGCTCCTCTCAATACTCTATTCATCACTGCTTGGGAGGGAGGGCAATGGAAAAATGAAACTAGAGGGAAATAGAGAATAAGAAAGAGAACCCAGAGTTATATCCATTTCAATTCAGCAGCATCTTTATAAACTGATTAAAACTTCAGGTTGCAATCCTTTTAATTATTAAATCAGCTGCATTCTAGAAAAGTATCAACTTCAATGCTTCATAAGATAAAGTATAATGCTAATTTTTACCTCATGCATCACCAGAGCTTAATTATGAGGTATATTAAATTCTCAGATCAGAATACTTGTTCACTTAAACTTTGATGGGAAGACTGTATCACTTCAGATAAGAGTAGCCTTAAGGCATTGATAATTTTTTAAAACCTGATGTAATAGATTTCAAAACCTTTAATTGGCAACTCTAATGGTTTACTTAAAACATTTTTTTAAAAAGTGAAGCAACCAATGGCTTAATTAATAAAACTGGGGAATATAGGCTCAAATCTATTTGGTTTTATCTTCTGTGGAAATGTTACATTAAAAAGACAATGTAAACATCTGTTTTCTTAATGGAAGACACATTCTCTACAAGAATGCACTGAATGCCATTTATTTTGTGAAACAGAATCTGTGTTTAAAAATGTAATGTCTAGTGTCATTTTTAGATTTAATGTAACACTGTTGTCCATGTTATTTGGCCATTTAGTCTCACAGCTAAATAGGCTAAATCAAACATTTTTCACTTCTTTCCCAGCCCTCAATGAAGAAATGATATCGATCTCTACGCATGGATTTTACAGAAAGATGCAGAATAATTATTTTTTCAATTTAAATTCACTTGCTTCACATTGAAAAAAAAGCAAACAGCACAATCCAAACAGGTGTTTTATCCTTAGTATTGGAGGCTCTTGAGGTACTGGGTTACTTGAGATACTGGGTTACTTGTTAGCTACTGGTATTTGTATAACATTCAGTTCAGAAATGACCTAAAAAAGGACGCCTCAGGCCTGGTGGCTCAGCAGACTAAAAGCATTGTGATTAACACCAGCTGTCTGCAATTACTGTAAGTTCGAATCTCACCAGGCTCAAGGTCGACTCAGCCTTCCATCCTTTCTAAGGTAGGTAAAATGAGGACCCAGTTTGTGGGGGCAATAAGCTGACTTTGTATAAATATACAAAAGTATGAAGGCTATTGCTTAACGCATTGTAAGCTTCCCTGAGTCTCCGGAGAAGGGCGGCATATAAATCAAATTAAAAAAAAAAGTTGATGCTTCATAAAATATAAGGCAAGATAAATCTAAATACAGTAATGTAAGAATAATACTGTGGGGCTTTCTTGCTAATTCTCTAGTGTAATTTTAAGTCAAGAAGGCCAGATATAAACTCCTTAATCACACAATAACTCCAGTTTTGATTGGGAAACTATAGACATCTTAGAGTAAGCCAGATCCAAAAAACAGAAGGGAATTCCTAGATGCCCACAATTCTGATGAATCAGCCATTAAAAGACACATCGAGATAAGCTCCATCTTCACACTATTCAAGAAAGGAAGCAACCCAAGATCAAGGAAAGTGGCAAACACCTACACAGACCTTTCCTTATCACATCTATTTACCAACACCCAGATAAGCAGGTACCTGCTGGATAAGCAAGAACAAAGAATGCCCCCTCTCCAAAATTAAGAAACAATACCCCAATCAAAGCTGGTAAGTGAAGCTACCACAAATAAACAGCTAACAAACTCCGTTCTCTCATACATTAATAATGTTACCTAACCTTGTAATACAAGATCTGCAGTGAAAGATACAAGCTCAAAGATCACCAAGAACTCAACAATTAAACCCTTATCCACATACCTTCTCCTTTATGGCAATTTCAAGTCACTAGAATTAAATGCTAGGGATATTGTCAAGAGCTTTATGCATTCCAGTAAATAATGTTTAAGCTCTTATTCTGTTGCCATTCAGTCTAAATATTTATTGCTGCCAGCTACGTATATGCCAACACTATATTTTTTAAAGAGAAAATTCATTTAAAATACATTATCAAATTGTTACTGAGACTTTTGTAGATTAAATAAAGATGTTGGCTACTTGCACTTCTGTTTGCACCCAAAAAAGAAAGTTGTGGTTGGGATGGATTTAAAACTGTATCCAAATGCAAAAATGAGATGGGCCAGAAAGTGGGGGATGAACTCAGACCTCCAATTAAAACCAAATTTCTTCTCCTTCTTGCCACCACCTTATAGCTAGATACTGAATTGCTACCAATCTAACAGAAATGGGAGGAGGAGAAGGGGGGAAAACCCTAAAGAACTCAAGACACGGGCATGATTTTCAATAATTGTCCCAACAGATTCCATACAGGAAAAAAAAAAAAGGCAAAATACGAGCAGCAGCTCACCAAGAAGAGGAGGAATAAAGCTGGCGTGAATAAAGCAAAACTATGCTACCCAGAGAGCCGCCCCAACTCTTTTATTCTGGAGAAATAAAAGAAGACTTAACACATTGGCCATGTACTTTGCACATCAGAGTGATCGCCTCAACTTCAAATTTAAATGTCAACTGACAGCACCATGGTTCACTAGGCACGATTTACATCAGTTAGTGGAGTGTGGAGATAAACAAACTGATAATAATCAACCTTGTTTTCCGATCCAAATTGGTCCAAGCAAACATGAATGTATTTTGAGTTATTGAAGGAGCAAATTATAATAGTTTTTTAAACATAAATCATAATGCTTTGATTCTCACTGAGCCCTGAGGGGGACATTTTTTTAAGGTTTTTGTACTAATTGGTTATTTATTTAATACTTTCCTTAGTTCTCCCTTTGCTTTTCACTTTAAATGTCAACATTTTAAACCAAGATGTCAAGGTTTTAAATGTTAAAAATAATAAAAAAGAGAAAAAAGAATGTAGGAATGTATTAAATTAAAAGATTTCCTTTTGTGTCCAAATGAATCTGCCAAGTCAGGATTTCTTCTCCTTATTAGACCTCTTGCCAACAGAAAACCTGGGCTTTCTTTTTAGATATACTTAGCATGTTTTCTTTTATTGTATTGAGATTTAGCATCCCAGGATTTTAAATTAAATTAAATTAAAACATTGGAATGACATTCATGAAATAAATGCAAATCTTAGCTGAAAACACTGCAAATGATAAATGGTCTATACGCTACTTTCTGGAATGAGATTGCTTTATGGGTTGCCACTGCAACACGAGACGTCAGAGCTATTTTCCACTGCAATCTAGAGTTTCTCCAGGTTGAAGAAGTGAAACATGGCTAGGAACAAGCACACTGAGATCAGCCATCTGGCAAGACCCATCCAGCGGAGTTCACTTTCAATTAAGAAAATTAGAAGACAAAGAAAGAAGATAATGTTAAAAAATTCTCCAGTAATTCTGCAGAGCAAATTTCATTAGGAATATTCTCAGTGTCAATCACAGATTTTTTTTAAAATGTAGCTGAGACTCCAGGAGGCTAATGTGATAATTTAGTACAAAGTGATTAGCACACATCACCGTGAGGGATCCTTGTGCTCTCTGAGCTTGCTTGTTTTCTTGCAGAGGTTTCATTCCCTAACTTGGTAACATCATCAGTACTAGTACTAGTACTGATGATGTTACCTAGTCAAAATAATGAAACATCTGCACAAAAGCAAGCAAGCTCAGGGAGCACCAAGGACCCCTCTTGTCAACCCTGAGCTACAAATATTCTCCTTTATGGGTAACACATCACCATTTCCTGACCTTTCATTTGATCCTCAAGATTAGAGACTTTCTTTTAGATCTGTTCAAAGGTTTGTTCATTTCTGTAGTTATTACTTTCAAAACAAAGAGATAGGTTTTTTAATTGACTTCAAAATTTATAATTGGCAAAGAATTTATTCTAATAAATACTTGGACACCTTCCTCTCCTGCTTTTTGATATAAAAGGGGATGATGACATAGCTCATGGTGATGTTGCAGCAGAAACTTTTTTGGTTTTAGTTGACATATTTAGAGCAAAATAATTATCTACAGTGACATATTACTGTATGTTTGAGAAAGTTGCATAACATTCTCAGAGACTCTTCCCATCCTGCTTACAATCTTTTTGGGCTGTTGCCTTCTGGCAGAAGATATAGAACAATTAAAACTCGGACCACATGTTTAATGAATAGTTTTTATCCCAGAGCTATAATTGCACTCAACAATGACTAAAGGGCCACCTTCAGTGAACTGTTGGACAGCATTACTTGGTCTGTTGTGTGGATGTTGGGTGGTTTAGGGGTGGGGAATTGTGGTGGGTGGGAGTGTGTTTGGGGATTGCTATGTGTGTTGGACCTGGTCTTTGGGTGTTAAGTGAATTTTGTTGTATGGGTATACTGTGTATACATGTACAATGATAATGAAGTTATTATTATATTACAAATGTTTTGATGAAATCTTCTCCATGCAATCCCCTTCTTGAATGGCTTCAATAAAAGACTTCCTACCAAGATTTAAAACTGATACCTTTTGATTTTCCTCCTGAACTCTTGAATGCATCTGAACTGTAACATATTAACTATGGTAGCTTGTTCCCTCTTGTTTAGTGGCTTGGTATATTGTCAAATTATGTTGTATCTGATTTTTTTCCCTTTCTTTTCTCTTTTGCACTCTTTTCCCCCTTCCCTTCAGCTTTTTCTATTTATTTTTATTCCCCTTCTGTTTAAGAATGTGGTTAAAAGTTTCTCCAGAAGGGAGAAGCTGCAGAGTCATGTCAACTGAAAATAAAATGTTATCCTCCTTGAGCTTGATCCTATCCTATTTTTCTTTTACATTTTATGATTTAAAAAAACCCCTTTACACTTGTAGTCTTTATTTCATTTGTATTTAGAACTGTTAATGTACAACATTGGAAACAAGATAAACTTTTTATTTTAAGACTGCTTTATATTATAGGTCCCCAAACACCAGTTCATTGAGCCCTTCTTGATGTTACAGATTGCTCAGTGACCCCTAATATGTATTATATAAAAACAATTTAATAAACAATACTTTAACTAATAGTACTACAAATAATAATAATAAAATCACAAAACCAAAAGACAAATAGACAACTGTGACAACTGTGACAAAAGAAAGCAAAGACAGTTCCAATATACCCTGTTTTCCCCAAAATAAGACATCCCCTGATAATAAGCCCAATCGGACTTTTGAGCGCATGGCAATAAGGCCAAGCGCTTATTTCAGGCTTCAAAAAAAATATAAGACAGGATCTTATTTTCGGGGAAACACAGGTAGGTAATAGGCACCTTGGGTGCAATTGCAAAACAACTGGTGCCCCACTTGAACACCATCAGCATGGACAAAATCCCCATCAGTCAATTGCAAAAGGCAACTTTACCCGAAACAGGTTACATCCTCTGACAATATCTTTAACACCATCAAACCACATCTGCCTATTCCAGATCCTGGGGATAGGGGGATAAAAATACCAAATCCAGTCTAAACATCTAGCCAATTGCGACAAACCATAATAATTTGTTATAATAAGAGAGATAACTCAAGGCTGCTCTACCTGACTAGATGGCTCAAGTGGCTAAGACGCTGAGCTTGTCGATCAGAAAGGTCGGCAGTTTGGCGGTTTGAATCCCTAGTACAGGTCTCCTGCGTGAGCAGGGGGTTGGACTAGATGACCTCCAAAGTCCCTTCCAACTCTGTTACTGTTACTTGATGGTTGAGTCTTACCACTAGCCACTTCACCTTCAGGACCTGGGACTGGTGTGGAGATCCCAAAAAACTAATTGACCCCAATTTACTTTTCATTATTTATCAATCACCTCTTGACCCCCAGATATTTACTGACCCCCTTTTACCCTCCAGCCATTTATCAACTCCTTGGATAGATAGATGCCTTGAGAGTCTCTTGGGAGTCAAGACTGACCACTGCTTTATATCATATACTTTATATTGTATTTGTCTTATAAAATATTGGCAATTGAGTGATAGATATTTATGGGCTAATAGAGTACTCTTAGCTGACATGTAGTCTTAATTACAGTTGCCTTATCCTGACCTATGGCCTTGCTTCAGGCCAGAGTTTATGTGGCTTTCTCCTCCTGTTTTCTGCGCTGCAAAACACAAAATTTCAGGGTTAGGTGTCGTTATATCGGCAGTTATGTCTAATGCTCTGAGCATCACTGGTAAGGAAAGGCCAGAGGCTGCGAGTTGTAGCAAGAGTCCAGGGCAGAAGTAAAAGAATGTTCAAGTCAACCCAGAGCAATGTCACAGAAGTCTAGTTGGGTTCTAGAAGTACCCGTAACTTAGAACCCACCGTCTTCAATTCCAGAGAGAATCAGACTGTTCTTCTAACTTATTCAATGATTGTTTAGTAAGTGGCTCTCAGTAAGGGTAGTACAAGTCCCAGGTTGGGTGTGAATTCTTTAGACCGACCCTCATCTGCTGCTCTGGGATGGACATGTGGTTTTCTGAGACAAACAGAAGGGCAGAGGTGCATGAAGCTAGATTCCTAAATTGTAGTTTTTTTTCTGCAAGAGAAACAGATCCTAGGCCTTTTGTTTGTGCTTAATGTGCTGGAATGATAAGGGTCTGTCTCCAACTCTCTAAAGAAAATTGACTCTAGTATATTGTCCCCCAAACTTCTGAAAGGTGAGGAACATTTGGGGGAGGATATCTATGGAGATTCTCAGTCATCCAGGTCATGGTTGTCCCAAAAGTGTTTTTTCAAAAGGCAACTGGGTTTTGTTTTTTCTTGAAGGTGTTTCGTTTCTCATCAAAGAAGCTTCATCAGTTCTGATTTGGGAGGGGAGTTTGCTTTCATTTTTGGGTGAGAAATTGGAGCCAAGCTTCATCTGACAGCATTTTGGATGATTAAGGCTGGGGCAGAATTGAAATAGTGGGAGATTTTAGGCAGTTGTGTTTTTTATTTGCCTTTCAATAACTTGGTGTCATGGCTGCCTTTGGGAGAGGAGTAAGACAAAAAAACCCGCTCTGACAGAAATCCCTCTTCATTTTGGGGTATTTAACCGGAGACTACCTATTATCCTACACCAGCAGTGGTGCAATTAGAGCTGTGCCATGGGCTGCCCTAAAGTCTTGCAGCCTAGGCCCCCCAATAACCAGTCAGAGGGGGAAGAGAATGAAAATAGCAACTACTACCATGGGATGTTAGTGTCCACTGAGACAATGTATTGTGATCCCCCCCCCCCAGTTTTAAAACAATTTTTACAGTTAGGTTTTTTTTACTTTTACAAACTGATACATAATTGTAATTGCTTATGTTATTGTGTGTTTATTAAAGGCTACACCAGAAAAGTAATATTTGGTGTAAATGCATCAGGTAGCAGAAAGAAATGCCTGTTATTTCAGAAGTCAGGAAATACAAATGATATAATGACTGAAGTTGTTTAAAATAAGAAACTGCATTTGAACTGACTCTTCTTCTCCCTCTTCTCTTCTCTTCTCTCTCTTCTCTTCTCTTCTCTTCTCTTCTCTTCTCTTCTCTTCTCTTCTCCTCTCCTCTCCTCTCCTCTCCTCTCCTCTCCTCTCCTCTCTCCTCTCTTTTTCCTTTTTCTTTCTCTCTCTCTCTCTCTCTCTTCTTTCTCTCTCTCTCCCTCCCTCCCTCCCTTCTCCCACCCACTTTTTTTTGCTGTAAGGCAGTGTTTTTACAACCCCCTCAGCTTTAAGATTTATGGACTTTAGCTCCCAGAATATTTCAGCATGCTTGCTGGGGAATTCTGGGAGCTGACTTTAAACATTTTAAGTTGCTACGGTTGGGAAGCATTGGTTTAAGGTAACAGGAATATAGAAGTCATTTCATGGAGGAACTCTGGGCAGGGGAGAAGAGAAGTATTAGTTGTATGGGTTGCAACTGAAGTAATATGTGTAGTCAACTAAAGTGGACCTCTATAAGGCAATTAAGGCCAGTAATGACCTATCTGCACCACTAGAGAGCGCTGGAGCTAGGTTTCCTTTGAACAAGTGGGACATAAGATTAATATTGGATAGGAAATCTGTGACCTGTAGATGTACTTGAACAGTCCCCGTTGCAATAGCAAGGCCTAAGGAAAAAAAAATGCTAAGAATTGCAGTTCAGCAAAATATTGGGATGAGAGGGTGTCCTCAAAGGTCAAAGGTACCTCTCTGGCATGGGGTGGGGAGGGGAATAGATTTCCATCTGTGAACTACAGAAATAAAATGCTTTTCATTGAGATTTTGGTGTTCCAGAAATCTTTACCATGTTTGATGTCTTTCATATACCATGGTTGAGCAAGTATGGGTAGAATGTCAATGTTCTTTGAATTCTGGCCAAGATTAGGCCTGCAAGATCTTAGGAGAATGTGATTCCTATAGAATGGGAAACTGTACATTTTTTTTTAAAATTTGATTTATATGCCGCCCTTCTCCAGAGACTCAGGGCGGCTTACAATGCATTAAGCAATAGCCTTCATACTTTTGTATATTTATACAAAGTCAGCTTATTGCCCCCACAAACTGGGTCCTCATTTCACCTACCTTAGAAAGGATGGAAGGCTGAGTCAACCTTGAGCCTTGGCGAGATTCGAACCCTGCAGTAATTGCAGGCAGCTGGTCTTAAACAGCTTAATAATAGGGTGCCTTAAACCCTTGTACTACCAAGGCTCTTCCTACAGCTAACTGCCCTTTTGAAAGGAAAAAAAAATTAAAAGGTGAAAACAGTCACATTGAAACGCGAACATAGCTTTTTGCTGACTATAACATTTCAACTATTCACTGCCAGACAATTTCCTTTAAAGGGAAGCACTGAAGCATCAAAATAAAACATGTACTAAGTTGGCCCACAGGTGACAAGTCCCAGCAGTTAGAGAGAAAGCAAGGGAAAGATAAATGAATGAATGAATAGAATGGAATAAGTGGAATGAATGGTCTGGCTGCTTGAATCTCTAACTGACTGTGAAAGTCCATAATGCATTTTTCTTTCCCCATAGGCCACCCTGGAATCTCCTGCCTTCACTTTACCAGCCCTTCACTTGGGATAGTGTTTCTTCTACTCAATGTTTTTTAGGGATGAAGTATCTTCTGCTTCTGTCTCTCCTCATATGCCTTTTATTTAGTGTTGGGGGAAAGATCTTTGGACGCTGTGAATTGGCCCGAGTGTTGAAGAAAGCTGGCTTGGAGGGATATCGTGGATATAGTCTGGCTGATTGTGAGTCCTTCATCTTTTCTTTGCCATTTTCCTACCTCTAGGGGAGCTCTATCCTTGTGTCCAGAGCTGAACCCATTATTTAGAAATGTTGGCTAGACTGATACATTTTGACAGTAACATGTGAGCAGAAAAAAGCCATGGTCCAAACTATTATGAGCTAATCTTCCAAAGAAAAGGACAAAAACCAGACTCTTATGTCACCCTTCAACTATTGGGATCCAGCTTCCATCAGCTCCAGTCAATATGGCCAACAAACAAAGTGTTGGAAGTCAGAGTCTAAGAGCAGCTGGTGACTTACTTATCCCCATGAATAGCTGAACCAAAACCGTTATAATAAGCAAGGGTCTGTATTCAGAAATGCTTGACGAATTAGGGTACCTCTTCCAAGTGCCAACTTCAAGCTTTTCCTAGATCCAATGTTGTGTTAATTTGGAAGAGAGTTCCAAATTACCCGTTTTTCTTCTCCATGCTACAGGGGTCTGCTTAGCCTTCTATGAGAGCCACTTTGACTCGGCGCTTGTGGACCATGAAGCTGATGGCAGCACCAGTAATGGCATCTTTCAGATTAACAGTCACATTTGGTGTGAAGATTACAAACACGGGAAACCAAACATCTGCCAAATGCATTGCAGTGGTGAGCTCTCAAGTGGGTTGGCTTCAGTGACATTTAACTGGGCTGCCTGGCAGCCAAATAAGTAAAAGTCACTATAAGGCAGGATCGCGCCATCTAGCTCAGCCCTTACTGTTAGTATCAAGTATAAGAATTACCACTCAGTGGGTAATTCTGCCCATATTTATTGCTAGGAAGCCACTGATCTGTGCATACCGGTCAGAGGGAAGACTGAATGGCTCAAGTATATGACATGAAAAGACCTAATAGAATTATTATCTCCCATTATTAGATGCTTGGATATAAGTGACACTAGTAGATTATAGGGAACTCACAAGCAAGCTTTACACATATTTTTTGTCTTGCATGCTGGTACTCTCTGCGAGATAGTCTAGGATGGGGGTGTTGAACTCAAGGCCCGCAGACTGGATCTGGCCCAGAAGGCCGCCCTGGAAACAATGAAGGAACGGCCCGTGGTGCCTCTGCCAGTGAAAATGGAGCTCGGGAAGGGCTGTAGGAGGCCATCATGGCTGAAAATGGGGCATGGGAACCTGCACACGGCCCACCTGAACTCTGTTTTTGCTGACAGAGGGCTGCAGGAGGTCATTGTGGCCAAAACGAAGTTTGCGAGTGCTGCACGTGGCCCTCTTGAGCTGCGTTTTCGCTCGCAGAGGATTACAGGAGGCAGTCGCAGCCAAAAATAGAGCTCGGGTGCTCGTTTTCACTGGCAGAGCACTCAGGCCACCACACGCATCTCCGTTACGAGTGACCTCAAGCTGGCTATGCCACCACCCCCCCCCCGCCCGAGGTCAAATACAACCCTGATGCAGCCCTCAATGAAATCAACTTTGACACCCCTGGTCTAGGAACTGCTGTAAGGGTGAGATGTGCTGAACTTTAGATTAGGCTTGAAGGTTTCCCTAAAATACTGTCCTAAGCAGGTAGTTGAGGAGAGTCACCAGGAATTCTATAGCTCTGAAGGAACAGGAGTCTAGAGTTCAGCACCTGATACCACCTTCTCTGTTATTGCAGATCTGCTGACAAGCAATATCAATGATGATATCGTCTGTGCCATGCGGATTGCACAAGGACCCAGAGGCCTGGGATCTTGGTAAAATCATTTGGGGCAGGGGCAATGATCCCTTTTAAGACAGGCAAGCAGATGCACAAAGCATGATATCTTCTAAGCAGCAATTGGGCTGGTCTGAGCATTATTGGGCCAGGAGGCAGTGATTTTTTGGTGGGGGGAAGTGCACAATATACTTTAGGTATAAAGCTCTCTAAAATATTATTAGTTTTAAATGAGAAGTTAATATTTTTATTCAACTCATTACATAATTATGTACAAATTACATCTGTGAATCAAAACAGTTTGAAAAAGTAACTTAAACAGGAATGATTGTTTTCTAATCAAATTTATCAGTGATTATTTTTATTATTAGCATGACCAATTGTTGATTCTTCTTAGTTTTTGTTGTGTTCTTGTCAGTTTTCCAGAAAAAAAAGTTATTGTATCTATTAAGATGGATAGTTATATTCATCTTAATAGTTATAAAGAATCAAGGTCAACTTTGAATCTTATATGTATATATACTGTGTTTCCCCAAGAATAAGACCCTGTCTTATATTTTTTTTTGAACCCTGAAATAAGCGCTTGGCCTTATTGCCATGCACTCAAAAGCCCAATTGGGCTTATTATCAGGGGATGTCTTATTTTGGGGGAAACAGGGTATAAGATATATATATATCCTAAAATGGGGCCCCTATATCTAATAATTGGAAAAGAAATATGAATTTTACATCCTTTATGGTATAGGTCATATTTCACATCCTTTATGGTATAGGTCACATTTTAAGCAATGTTTTCAGAATGCCAATTTTTATCTTTTCTAGTACAACAAATGTAAACCTGTGGTTTGGAAAAATTGACTTTTTCATTATATGTATTTTCACTTCTGATACATCTTTCTCATCTGCAGAAATTTGTTTATGAGCCTGACTCATAGATGACAAATTCAGATTTTTTGCATACTTATACACCAGATTTTGAATTTCTTCATTCCCAAAAATGTATTCTTGCTCTTGTAATGTTGGTATTTTAAATGCAACTCACTCTTTCGCCATCCAGATGGTTACATACTTACTTAGAAATCACAGAACAGTATCACTACTCCAATGCTAGTAATAATGTTTTCACTTTGGGGCTGACTTCCTATCCTGGCCTTAGCAAATTCCAAAGCCTCAGTTGGTGTAATGCACAGTATACAGCATTTCTGCCAATTCAGCCAAAACAGCATTTTCAACTGCAATAGTAGCAATGTAATTTTTTTGGGTTCTGTAGTAATTGGCTATTACATTCTCAAGCTCCTTTGAGATATACTGTACTAATGGTGTATATAGATTAGTTCTTTGACTGGAAAATATCTTGTTTAATGGTCTTCATGAGACTACCTCATATTCTGCAATTTGGACTATTTCCTCAAATTGCAATTTCTTTACTGATGTCATACGAAATATCATGTATACTGTGCAAACAGGTGTTTCCATATCCTTCACCAGAGACACATTTTCCCATGCATCTTTCCCATTGCATGAGTTATGCAATATTGTTCTGTGAGATGTGTAATTTCCTTCTTGTGACACCTCTGTATTTTCCCTATGTGATTCTTGCACCCTGTGAAATAGACATTATCATCTTTTCCAGATTCAATTTGTGATCAGCGTAGGATTTTGTTTAGAGAGCCAGTTTCGTGTAGTGGTTAAGCCACTAGGATAAACCAAAGGACCTCAACTTCAAGTCCTGACTTAGGCAGAAAGCTACCTGGGTGAATTTGGGCCAGTCACTCTCTCTCTCTCTGCATTGTTATTATTATTTTATTTATTTATATGCTGCCCTTCTCCGGAGACTCAGGGCAGCTTACAAAGTGTTAAGCAATAGCCTTCATACTTTTGTATATTTTATACAAAGTCAGCTTATTGCCCCCACAAACCGGGTCCTCATTTTACCTACCTTAGAAAGGATGGAAGGCTGAGTCAACCTTGAGCCTGGTGAGAATTGAACTCACAGTAAGAAGAAGGCAAGGGCAAACCACTTCCGAAAATCTTTCCAAGAAAACTGTGTGGACTTATTTAGGCAGTCAGCAGGAGTCAAGAATGATTCAAAAACAGCAACAAAAAAAGAATGGTTTAATCATTGTGAAAATCACCTGCATCATTAGTATTAGAGGAGCCAATCTTGATAGATAAAATCCAGACTTTACTAATTGGAATCTTGTTACTTTCACTTACCATTCAATGTAATTCATCACATTTTGGAAGACAACCTGGTTAAAAACTTCATATACTCAACAAATTTCAAAGTATAACTTTTGCTGCCTCATCTTTTTGGAAGCGTAGTATAATTTGCTATGTGATTGTGGGTGTTTTGAAGAGAGCACTAAAGCATTTTGGAAATGGCAAGCAAGACATACAGTCAATGAATATTTTTCACTTGTACCCTTGACTTTGTCTGAACTTGCATTACTATTTGATTTCCTTACTAAATGTTTTATACATCGCCTTGTTAATTCTTCATACCTTGCAGACTTCCTCAAGAAGGGATTCTTCTTTTTTTATTGCAATTTCTCCTTAGACAGTCAATTTTTATGAATTCCATGACTTTCAATCAGCACAATCACAACTAAATTTGGTTCCTGCATGAGACAGTCATACTATACATTACTATCTTCAGTGTAAGAAAATGTTTTTCTTAGTCTATGTGCTACAGGCTTCCTTAGCACTTAGTTGCAGTATAAATTAAATAATTAATTTAGTCATGATAATTTCAAAAGCCGTGTGGTTTTTATGTTTCTTAATATCATTGTCATTTTCTTGTACAGATCTGTGTGCTTTAACATTTTGGTGGGATCAAAAAATCACATTGTTGTAACATTTTCTTCAGCCTGGCTCCTAGGTGTGAACTGCTCCTCTCTTTCTCTCTCCTTAACTTTCCCCTTTGCTTTGATCCCCCACTCCCAAGTGGTCCATCCCTTCTTCAGTCTGGAGTCTACCAGAAGATGCCCAGGCTTCAGCCTAGCCCCTGAGAGAGAGAAGCTTCTTCTCTCTCTCCTTCTCTATCTCTCTCCTTTTGCTTACCAATTTGCAAAGACACACTTCGTAAGTGCATTATTTTTGACAGTGAGTGGGGAAAATGAGTCTTATGTGCAGATGTGCAATGGCTGCTGCGCAGTAGTGAAATCCAATTTTTTTTTACTACCGGTTCTGTGGGTGTGGCTTGGTGGGCGTGGCAGGGGAAGGATACTGTAAAATCTCCATTCCCTCCCCAGGGGAAGGTTACTGCAAAATCCCCATTCCCTTCCTACTCCTGGGGGAAGGATATTGCAAAATCTCCATTCCCACCCCACCAGCCAGAGGTGGTATTTGCTGTTCTCCAAACTACTCAAAATTTCTGCTACAGGTTCTTCAGAACCTGCTGGATTTCACTGTTGCTGCTGCGTGGTCACATACGCGGGCACCACAGATGTTGAGCATGGACATCATGATTTTTGTTCTGTTTTTAAGAAAAGCCATCAATGGCCTTGGGAGTTGTTTGAGAAAGGGGATTGAAATTTGAATTTGGGGGGCTGAGCTCAAACCTCAAATAGGAGTATAAAACCCATTGTTTTTTTTTTATAGAGGACTTTTTTTTTTAAAATCAAATCATTATTCTGATAGCCAACATTTGCTGCTAATTCCATCTTCTGGACCAACCTTCTCCAACTCAGTTCCTTTCTGATAGTCCACTCTGGATCCAGTCTGTTGTCTGGATTTGGGAGTCCAAATCAAACACGTAAGGAGGATAATCGGTTGGAGAAGGCTATTTTGAACACAAATGAATGAAGCTTAGTTTTCTGGATATTAACCAAGGAATAAATGAAAATATCAAGAGCATAATTCGACAGAAAGAAAATGAATTGCATGTATATTATACTAAAATAATGACATACGGTAACTTGAAGAAGAGGACAACTTTTTTTTTAAAAAAATCTACAAATATCAAAATGAAAATCTCTTCTTAATTAAGTATATCTCTGAATAATAGATTTGGAATTTCATACTAATGAAAACAGCATAATAATTGCTGAAAATCACTCGATTTTTTTGGGTGTGTGTCTTTTAAAGCTATCTCGAATCTACGTAGATTAATGCTCCATATATTTGATTCACACTTATTAATTCTCAGTCCTGGTAACAGCACATAATACTTCTACAAAATACCTAAAAACTATAAATTGCTTACCTGAAGAGTTTTCACCTGCTGTCAGAGCTTGGGAGAGGGAGAGGGAGAGGAAAGAGTGAGGGAGCAATAAAACTGTAGAATTTTTCCTATCTCTTGATTGCCATCTAGTGGTCTTATGGATTTTTTGCAGGTTAGATAAAGTAGCCCCATACTATTGTTTTAAGAATGCCAATACAGTAATTGATGATGAGAATGTCCTACATCAGTGATGGCGAACCTTTTCGGCACCAAGTGCCCAAAATGGAACGCTCGTGCATGTACGTGCATGTGTGGGCGTGCACGCTGGAGTGCCAGAAACATAAGGACCAGCTGGCTGGCACGTGCATGCCTGTTTTTTGGCAGCTTTTGGCCTTTTTTGGGGCCATTTTCAGGCTGTTTTCCAGGACATTTTCAGGACATTTTCAGCCTGAAAAATGGCCAGAAAATGACCTGGAAAATGGCCTGTTTTTTGACCATTTTTGGGCCGTTTTTTGACCTATTTTGGGAGCATTTTTGGGGCCAAAGATGGCCTGAAAAAATGGCCTGAAAACAGCCTGAAAATGGCCTCAAAACAGTCCAGAAAATGGCCCAAAAAACAGACCAAAGACGGCCCAGAAAACAGTCTGTTTTTTGGCCATTTTCAGGCTGTTTTCAGGTGCTCTGGCACCCATGAAGACCAGCTGGCAATGGCACACATGCCCACAGGGCTCTGTGTGTCCCCTCTGGCACATGGGCCATAGGTTCGCCATCACGGCCCTACACTTTCTCTGCAATATTCGAACACTATAACTTGATGCAACAACTTCACATTTCATAACACTTGCAAAAATGTCGGTATGGTATTTTCAACTGATGAAAATCATCTTCTCCCATTCTATTTGCAAAGCTTCTTCCCCTGGGGATTTACTTTGTGCTAATTAATTGGTAATCACACAACTGTACTGTATATACACTGTACATCCATACAGTGGCTACCATATGTGCTGCCATCTAGTGGCTATTCTGAAAGTATGGAGTCATTGAATTTGCATTTCAGCACCTGAATTTGGCAACGTTTTGGCTGTTGTTAATATACTGCTCAAAAAAAATAAAGGGAACACAAGCAGAAGACATCCGAGATCTGAATGAATGAAATATCCTTATTAAATACTTTGTTCTTTACATACAGTAGTTTATACACTGCTCAAACAACTAAAGGGAACACAAAACTACTGTATGTAACGAACAAAGTATTTAATAAAGCTATTTCATTCATTCAGATCTCGGATGTCTTCTGCTTGTGTTCCCTTTATTTTTTTGAGCAGTGTATTATCCATAGGCCAGTGGTTCTCAACTTTTTCTTCACCACAGACCCTCTTTAAATACCTTTTGTGGCCATGAACCACCAAGACTTAAATCATAACATTTCTTCAAGCCTTTGTGGACCCCCTGTAATGACATCACAGCCCCTGCCCAAGTAAAGAGCCACTGCCATAGACTACTTAACCATTTTATTTTATACCTCCAAAGAGATTGGGATAGTAAGCATGTTCCCTTCCTGTTGTATCCTTCCAACTGCCATATCTATCCTGTGGGAAAGATGAAATGCAGCTTTGATTACCGAGCACATAGCACAACTACTGTAAGTAGGAATTCAAAGCTAGGACTAATCCTGTGTTGGAGCTACTTGCACAATTGCAACCTCATGAAGCAGGAGAATAGGCACTGCTAACTAACGCCATCACATTTCACTGTGCATGGAAAGATGTCTGTCAAGGTCCTAACAAACCTCTCTTCCTTTATATGGAGTCTCCCAGGCAATTAGGATGTGCATTATAAGGACTTCTCCAATGTGTAGAGCAGGGCAAATGGGATAGGAGTGATGGCAGAGACTAGCCCTTCCCTCTGAATTGTGAATGGAATAGTAAAAAAACAGTTGACAATCTAGGATACCTATTCTAGTTCCACGCAGGCTTCTTCCATTCCCAAAGTTCCTCAACTGAAGAAAAGTCGTATCTAGCATGCCAGTACTGCATTTCTCAACTTAAAATGTATTGGTAGGCATATATTGGACCACAGTCCAATTATTATATTCTGGTGTATCTTTCCCCATTTGTCATAATACTCCATGCTATTTGGATTTCTTATCTCAAACACCAATGTTTGCTGGGAATGTATGATGGAAATGCCAAGCTAGAAATGAGATTGTCTGCATCAGAAATAAAACTTTTATGATTAGTTAAATGAAAGGACACAAGCAGTTACCAGATCTAACCTCAGAGATTAATTTTGGTATTTTTGGTTAGTTCTGGTAAACATTTGTGTCCTTGCATTTAGTTAATCATAAAAGTTTTATTTCTGATGTAGACAATCTCAACATTTCCATTATACATCCCAACCTAATTGCATTCTCACAATCAGTATACAGGTAGTCCTTGTTTAGCAACTGTCTTGTTTAATGACTGTTCAGTTATGAGTGATGAAAAAGTAATTTTGTGACAAATCCTCACATTTATTACCTTTTTCGGGTCTGTAAAGCAAAGGTAAACTGAAGTAAGACTTTAATCACAGTTGTGGTTTCACTTAATGACTGAGTTGCTGGTTCAAATTGTGGTTGTTAAACAAGGACTACCTATAATGGTTACGTTAGTCTTATTTCCTGCCTGCTTAAAATTGCTTGTTTCTTACAGCGGGAATCCAGTGATCTTTAAACAAGCTTCTGGTGAACTCAAGACTCATTTATTCCTTGTTCTTTCTAATGTTGCTGCTAGACTGAGGGGGTTCGTAAAGTCAGACATGAGAGAGTGCTATATGTAAGGCATGGATGACTGCATGTCATAAGCATGAATGCATTGAGGTTCCTTTTGCCTGGCCCAGCAAGAATTGTGAAGCTGCGTAAAAAGACTTGTCCACCTTGCATTTCTTGAGTTGAACAACAAAGTGTTCTTCAAGAAGTCATTCATTGAGCTTTGCAACGGCATTGTTCTTGTTTTTAGAGATTATACAAAGGGTTAAACTGTACTCTTTCCATTTGTGTTATTTGCTTAGGTTGAATTTGCTAATAAGATTCTCCTCTCCTCTCCCCTCCCTCCTTCGCTCTCAGGATGGGTTGGAGAGAAAATTGTGAAGGTCTACAGTTGTCTGTCTGGTTGAAAGGATGCAAGGTATGAGGAGAGAAACCAAAGAGAAAAAAGAATGTACTGAAGGCCATGAAAATGATTTAAGAGCCCTGGGACTATTGCCTTCCTGAAGCTAAGCAACCCTACTGGATATATTTTTAAAGAACTCTGGATTGTCCCTTACCAGAAGAGCAATTGTAACTTGGACTCTTGAGAAACAGATCTTGTGGTATAAAAAAGCTTATTCAAGCAATATGATTGAAATGACATCTATTAAAAACTCATGTATGCAAGTTTGGACTGTGATTTGTGATGTTCCAGTTTTCAATTCATGAAAGACCAAAATTGTCAGAGAAACTTCTTTAAAAAACATTACTTTCTCCCAAGACAGGTCTTATAAATTTCTAGTAATTTAATAAGCAAGAGATAAAAGGAACTGAGACAGTTGTTCTGATGTACTTAAAACATTCAATGAAGGTGAAGCATTGAGACTATAAGGATGGGACAATACAGTGGAGCTCATTTCTTTGAAATGCAAGGTATCTATAGTGTACACATTACACATGTGTAATCCCATCTACTGTTGAAAGTTAGAAAACTTCTACTTGAGTGGTCTTTTGAGTAATATATGATCCATCTAATTCAGAATTTTGCTCTATCTAAAGGCCACAGCTTTGAATTGGCATTTAGAAGTTCATTATCTTTGAATTTAGTATTACCTTTGAATTTAGTATTGTGATTCTAATGACCCATCTGAAATCACCTCCAATTAATTTGCCTAATCTCTAGATAAGGCAGTGACAAGTAGCAAATCTGAAGCCTACTATATGCATCCATTTAATTTGGGGATATTAACCAAATTGTTGGGAAGATTGTTGGAAATATATGACATGACAAATCCCATTGCTCAGAATTTGATACCTTGTTTTCACAAATTTTAGATGTTATTAAACCTTCAATAAATGTTGATGGCTAGAAATTTAAATGGTTATCCAAAGATAAACCCATCCATGTCTTGAAAATATTTCCCATTCAGATGCACATCTGGTCCTCTATGAATTTTAAACTGAAAAAGCAAAGACTGTTAAAACTAGCTAATCTAGTCTTCCTTAATCTGTAGGCCACATAGTAGGAATTCTCATCACTAGGAAACACTGATCAGGGGAGGGTATAATGCACACTATGAAATATTTGCTTTTTTTAAAAAATTGATGTTTAAAAGGAGGTTGCCAACCATGAGAAATATGTATGGTTATGAACATTTTCCCATTCTGGAATAGAAAGAGATTCTGGAATAAGCTTTTGTTTAAAGTTAGCATTTGGGAAGCACTGTTGTAAAACTCCCAACTCCCAACAAGTTGTTGAAATACCTAATAAAGAGTCCCTTCACATTTACCCCCTTGGTATCCATGAGCATTTAACCAATAAAACACAGGAGATAGTTTATTGCAATATATTGCAATTTTATTTATAGCTTGCAACATTATATTGAAAATTTTGACTTCCAGGATACAGTTTTAACATTTCACATGCAATGCATTAATAAGCTGCTGTTAATAAATCAGAAATTTAATAAAACCCAATTTATCAAATCAAGTTCGGTTTTAAAAGTACTTTAATAAAACCACATGCTGTTGTTATAAGTATGCAGAAAAATTGATTTTTTTTCCTCCGTGCATTTGGAAAATCCTGATTTGGGAGCTACCCAAACAATGTAGCACTTACACAGAGTTGCTTAACATGAAAGTGCTAAAGTTTGAGGTGCACCCAGCCAGAAGGTTCTGCAGCCCAAGTTAAGCCAGGATAGCTGTCTGAGCCACCTAGAAACCACTTCATCACGGAGCACTTAGGAGCACATATGACAACAGAAGAACTCCTGGTGAAGTTGTCTCCAGGAACTGTGAAGATCTCACAAGATGGGACACCAGAAAGACATTCCAAGCACAGTCCAGGTTGGAGCGAACCTGAGCCAGAGCCTCACCCAAACAATGAAGCACTTTCTAGATTAGAAAAAGAAAGAAAGAAAGTGCCCATATCTGGGCAAGGCTCAGTCAGCTGAGATGGATTATGGAGAGGCTTCTCTTGGCTTGCCTGCAGACAGGAAAAACAAAAAGACTATTTTAGAGAACATAAAAGACTATTAAATGCACCTCTTATTCATTCCAGTTTAAGGGAAGCCAAGGCAATAAGATGCCGGGTTTGTCGTTCTGCCAGGCCCAAATCCCACACAAACAATATAGCACTTAATTGAATTTATTACTACAAGAAAGTGCCACTGTCTGCGTGGGCTTCAGGAGGCCTCTTTAGGTTAACATTTTCACCCCTAATTTCACTCCTGGTAAAAAAAAAAAAGCCGACAAAAATTACGAAAATAAAACTTATTTAAAGCGATCCCGGGCGCGGCATTTCCCCACAGGCCGCCTATTTGGGAGAGTCCTGCAAAATAGCCGGTCCATGGTTGACCTTAGCCCGCAACCCAAAATTTTGTTGTGAGCCAAGGGCGCAATACAATCCTACCATCGGTTCAGAAAGGTCGCCTACACGGGACGGTTGTGAAGATTTTTAAAACACGTGCGAATCCGCCGCTGCTTAAATACGGACGAAGCAAAAAGTACGCGCGATTTGGCCGTCTTAAAAAAAAAAAAGTTGCGTAAGGCCGCCATTCCCGTTTTCTACCAGTAGGGGCGACACACCCGAAACGAACCGTACTACTTAGTGCCTGTATGGCCAATGGACGGCGGATGGTTTAAGGTACCTGGATTAGACGAGGGCAAAAAAAAAAAAGTTTTAAAAAAGTTTTAGAAAACATCCACAGGGAAGGCCCTTTTCTGCGATATGACGCGCTGTGTGTGTCTCTCTCACACACAACCCACCCACCCCGGCACGCAGTGGAGACAACGTGACCAAGACGACGCCAATACAAGGAAGCACTTTCTTCTTTTTTAAGATTTACAAGGCAGTGCAACTATATTGGTGGCGTCGAGGCAGCGGAAAAAAGGTGTTCAAATGCTCGGGACCGCACCGCGCCCTCATCCGTTTCAAATGCCTGTAGGGTTGTTTCAGATCTGCAGGTTTGAGTAAACTGGATGTCCGGGTGCCCAAAAACCTTTCCACCCATGTAGCACCGATCCAAGACACTTCCTCGCCCCACAAAGACCTCAAAGCCGATCCTTTGGCCACTCCAGCCACGTGGTCTTCGACCCAACTCAAAAAGGGGTCGGCTTTCAGAGTTTTCCCATGTCCCCAGATATCCCCCCCCCTTTACCGGATTCCCCGCACTATATATCACCTTTCGCATCCTTCCTGCCGTCGAGAAAGCCACCATTTGCAGGAACTGGGGCGTTTGCAGACTGAAGTCTTGTCAACATCCAAGCGCGGGCAGCAGCGACATTGAAGCGGGTCTTGAAGGGAAAAAAAAAAGTTGGGGTTAAAAAAAAAAGAAAGAGAAGAAATGTCATCTCTGCTGGCCGGACTCTCCTCCCATTCACCAAAACCAAGGGTACCAATTTCCGCTTCCAGCTTGCCTTCACTCCACCCGGCCCCATAAATAGTTTTGGAAGGTCAAAAGATAGGTAAGCTGGAAAGATCTCACGTGCTCGGGAGATCGGAGATAACAAGCCCAGCAGCAGAGATCTGTTGGGACTGTCCCTGCAACCCTCCCGGCCCCACCGCCCAAACTCCTTTTTTAAGAATTCCAGGAATTTAAATTTCCCGCGTGCCTCCCTCTTCAGTCGACCCTTTCCAATTGGAAAAGTCTTCCAAAGCAGCGCCCCCCAGAGCCCGCTTCTCCGCTCCTGCTTACCAGTCGTCGCAAAGGCGGCAGTGATGTCTCTCTTCTGGGATCCTGTGCTGTCCACCCAGTGCGCCACGCTTTATAAAGCTTGGGACTTCTGGGGTGCCATTGGCTCGTGACTTCCCACCATTGGCTTTCCTCCTCCAATCAAGTTCAAGAGCTGTGATCCCTTCTCCACCCACATTTTCCCCTCCCCTGGCCAAACCCTTGTCTGATCAAGGAGTGGATTAGGGGAAGGAGGTAAAGCAATCAAAGAGTTGATGGAGGGCAGATAGCTCAATCCATTGCTGGAGACAATGGGTCAAGCCGCCCCCCCCCACCCCCATCCAGGAAGGTGGATGATACAGGAAGCCTCAGGCATGAATATTCCCGCCCATTCCATTCCAATGGGCCAGTCTTTCTTTAGCCTGATGGTTGAGGAATGCTTTTGTTTTACAAATATTCAGGTGATCAAGCCAAATCTCATGATTTTGGTAGCACTTGAAAAGGCCAAGCAAAAGTATTGGGGGCAAAGTTAAGGGGGAAATTCAACCTTTGGGTCTTATCCATGACCTTTAAGACATTTTAACCTTCTGTGGCCAAAAGAATTGCCATTCCCCATCTACAATTGATGCTTATGTGCATATTTATTTATTTTTGCAATATAGGTATATTCTTCCCAGATTGGTTTTACAAATACTCCATAAAAACAGGCCAAGGGATATAGAGATTTAGTTCAAATAACAACACTATGTATGAATGACCATGCTTATTTCATTTCTCTTTAATATATTCTACAGCATTCTTCTGATGTAGGCTTTTAGCCATAGAAACTGAAGCTCACGTAATTTATATAAATTCTCCAGGTGCCATGGTAAAGTGACATAGGTTCTTTTCTAGAAGTCAGTTGTACTGAATTCATGTGAAACATTCTATCCTTGTGAATGAATGGGTTTTTTCCTTGTTCCTAGGTATATACATTGGTTATGGCAGTATTAATCAAGTATTATTAAATAAATCAAAATTTCTTGCAGTTGTGATCACTAATTACAAAAATTACAAAACTCTTCGGTAGCCAGGGCCTTCATTTTGTAATGAGACTTTTATTTTGCTAAAGAAATTTATACAAAGAGCATCTTTCCTATTTCTTTGTTCATCTGCAAAAAAACCCAAACCAGATTTCCTCACCCCTAATTATTTCTTATTTCTTTCTACTTTATTTCCGTTGTTTACTTTCAGATGCAGTCTGTTGATAGCATATCCTCAAACTTTTGCTTCTCTCAAAATAATTTTTTGAAAGTGGCATTTAAAAAAAAAAATTGATGATACAGTCTTATGATCTGTTTTGAATGAAATGGGACTGATCAATAGTACTGGAATGTAGAAAATAAATGAAGACTGCTTGTTTCTTGCCACTGGTTCAACCTTGTTCTAGAAAGTAGTGGGTAGCATCATTGATAATTCTGGAGAGTGGTAAATTTTTAAAATTTATAGCAATTTTCTTCATTCTAGTGTCTTCCA